TACTACTACCTTTTCGAAAGTCTTACCTAATAGTATAGCGATTCCGAAGTCCTACCGCAAGGCGTAGAAAAGCCTATAGTAGCCTTAGTAGGAATAAGCCTTCGAACGAGAGATAACTTAATTTACGGAAAAAGGGGTTTACGAAGTCGTTTACTTACTACGTAACGCTAAAGTCTTGCCTAGCAAATAAGTATATAATATTAAAATAAATAAAAATAACGAAATCGTACGCTATAAGGCTTGATATATAGTTTATAGAAACTATAAGAAAGGTAACTAGTTATTATAAGAGGTTTACGCTATAGTTACCTCTACTACCGTAACCTGCCTTTTCTTCGTAGTTATCATACTTCTCGATCTTAAATACGAAGTATATAATTTCGATACTACTTTCCTAGCCGCCTCGATTCTAGAAGGGGTTAAGGTATACGTCCGGCCTCCCGCTAGCTACGCTACTAAAGATAACAAGGTATAGTTACTATACAAAGCACTCTATAGCTTAAGAAAATCACTACTTTAGTAGTTTCGTCTTATCAAAAGCGAAATAGAACGAATTAGCTTTACTATTATTAATAGGGAGGTTTATCTCTTCGTTAATTATAAGATTAAAGCATACGTTCTTATATACGTCGACGATAACGCTATCGCTGCTCCTAATAAGCAGGTTATAATAGAAGTTTGTCGTCTCTTCGAGAAGGTCTGTTCTCTTAAAGTCCTCGGCGAGGCTACCGATTTTCTCGGTTTCTAGATTGAACGCGACAGGGCTGCCGGTAAGATTTTCGTTTCCTAAGCTAAGTATATAAAAGCAATACTTTAACGATTCGACTTTAATAGTTTAAGTATTGTCAAGACGCTTATAGCGACTACTAACGATCTGCCTATTACCTAGGATAAGAACGAGTGCTTGCTTAACGAATAACAACTTTATATCGAATAAACCGGCTGCCTTAACTTCATAGTAGCTAGAACTCGCGTTGACATAGCCTATACCGTTAGTAAATTATCACAGGCGAATTCAAGGCTTTCTAAGGCCTATCTTCGTGCTATTAAGCACTTATTCCGATACATCAAGGGCACCGTTTATCTCGTTATTGTACTTGGAGGCATCCTTACGATCAACGAGTTAGGGCTTTACGCTGCTGCAGATGCCTCTTTAGCTAACAACAAGCTATCACGAGTCTCGTAGGTAGTTACGTCGTCTTCCTTGCTAGTATGCCGATTGCTTAGAAGTTAAAGAAATAGACTTTCGTAACTTTAAGCATTACGGAGGCTAAATTTATTAATCTTATACTTATAATAATTATTATAAAGTAGATTAGACGTTGCTTCTCCTAACTACTTAGCAAACCTATTACTATGCCTACTATTATATTTACTAATAATACTAATAGCTATAATAACGTTATAAACCTACTTAACAAGGTACGAACCCGCTATATCGACGTCCGATATAAATAGATTATATAGGAGGTTTATACTACGAAAAGCATCGAACTCCGACTTATCAAGGGCGCTGATATGGCTGCCGATAGACTTACGAAGCTACTAGTTATAGTTAAACATAAGGAATTCGTTCGTTTGTTAGGCATAGCGGAGGGATTAGATTGAGAGGGGGATTTTGAGACTATAGGACTATTGATATTAAGACTTCGGGATTCGGAGGATTTTACAGCCTCCTATTAGCTAGGTTTAACTAGTAATTAACCGAGTTTTCTAATAGTTAAGAACTCCTCGGATTTAGAGGATTTAGGACTTTTCCTGTATTTCCTATTATTCTACTGCTTTTTCGCTGAGGAGTCTGAGAGGGGGTGTGGTAGCAGGCCTCGCCGGCCCGTCACGTGGGCTGACGGCCGCCACCACTGGTCTTAGCCAGCCTCCACAGCCCTCTAGCCAGTTAGTTAGTTCTTCCAACCAACAACACCACTTTTCCCATTCTGAGCGTTCTGTGCTGGTTTCGCCCACAGTTTCCTGCTAAATTCTAGGCACAATCGTGCCCATAGCCCCTAAAACCACAAACCTTCAACGGTAATTACAGATCCCTGGAAACAAATACAGTGGACCACACCACGTTTTCCCACCAAAGCCAACACCTGAAAGACCACTGTGGACTTCGTGCCAGCTAGCTACACTCGGGGTCATGCTGAGGTCAGCGCTAAACCGAATTCGGTCACCACAGGTGCCGCGAACCTCACCTCAGGAGGAGATTGTACCATGCCGCACGGATAGGTGTACAGAACCGGGTGCAAGGGTCCCTAGGATGAGTCTAGGGAGCGCCTAAACACCCCACGGAACTGGACAGGAAACATAGCAGCTTGATGTGGTGTATACTGCCAGTGTGATTCAGATTCATACAGCTTTTGTCGATCACCGATGAATGAATGCACACGCAGTTGTCAACAAAACAGCTTAACAACACCCTAACTGCCAGGGTTACTACACCAAATGTCCATACCGACGGATTCACCCGAAAGTCAGATGACGTGCAACTTTCCAGCGTTACCTGGTAGTCAGCCAGACTCCCAGGAGATATCACATGAGCATGTCAATGTCAACATCGAGGACCGCGTGCAATGTAGTATTCCAGGAAGGACAATTACCATTGCTGCTTGGTGCTTGGCACTGCACCTTTACGTCGGTCAAAACCACATAAGCTTTCGCATTATCGATGAGGATGGAAAAACCACCACTAAGAACTGTGTCATTGGGCCACAAGACACTCTCACGGATGTTGTTGCCCAGCATTCTCCTTCTTCTCAACTAGAAGCAGGTGTTTATGAGAAAGACAAAAACCAACCAAGTTCCCATCATAACACCGCAGTACAATGGGTATCGGCGGCTATCCAAGTTAACAGAAATGCCACACCGAATGGATTCAAGGCATCTCAGGCCACTCTCCCAGAAGGGATAGCAGTGGCTCTTGAAGGACCTTCAAGCAACGACAGCACGAGCAACATACGCTTGCTGTACCGCCATTCTTTCATGTCCAAGGCTGAGGCTCAAAATGTAGCTGCCACACTCAGCCATCTTATAGAGCAAATTTCAACTGCCAGCACAAAGCGTGTTACTGATATTCAGTTGAGTCAAAGAGACCAAGACCGGATAAGAAAATGGAATAGTAGACGCCTCATACAATCGGAGTGCCTACTTCACGAGGCATTCGCCAGAGTGGCCGCAGATAAGCCAGACTCGGAAGCAATAGACGCATGGGATGGACGAATGGACTTCAAGACGTTGGAAGATCAGTCGACACTATTGGGAGTTCAACTTATTAGAGAAGGCGTCATTCCTGGCTCATTAGTGCTTCTGAGTTTTGAAAAGTCAATATGGGCTGTCGTCTCATGGTTAGCAGTCCTCAAAGCCGGGGCTGCGTGCGTTTTTCTCGACCAAAGATACCCTGTCAGCCGTATACAGCAAATCATTGAAGCAACTGGCGCAACTCATGCGCTCGCATCCGCATCAGCCGCACCACAACTTAGTGACCTGGGCCTGACTATTGTCCAAGTTCCTCTCCAAACCCCTACCACCAACGGCTACCACAATGGAGACGGCAATCTTTGGCCGAGAGTGCACCCGGAGGATACAGCGGTTGTCATCTTCACTTCCGGTAGCACTGGAACTCCCAAAGGCGTGGTTTTAACGCATGCAGGCATTTTTACTACGGCACTGGACATGGCCGAGTCGTTGGATGTTGACGAAAGCTCACGAATTCTTCAATTCTCGTCGTACGCTTTCGACATGAGTGTAGCTGATATCGTCACTGGTCTACTTAGAGGTGCTTGTATTTGCATTCCGTCGGAGTCTGATCGGCTAGATCGTCTGCAAGGCTTCATGCAAGAGACTGGAGTAAACTGGGCAATGCTGACACCAACTGTGGCCCGATTGCTGAACCCCAACACGGCAAACAACCTCAAGACCCTTGTACTGGTGGGAGAGATTGTGAAAGAATCAGATATCAAGTCCTGGATCGACAACGGAGTTCGAGTGTACAACGGCTACGGTCCGGCGGAATCGACGTTCTTGGCGACGACGACTGGAAATCCAGGGGCCATTATTGGCCGTGCTAGCTCCATTGGCAGTGGTCTAAACATGAGGACTTGGATTATAGATCCTGTAAATGAGCGGCTTGTGCCTATCGGAGCTGTTGGTGAGCTCGTTATTGAAGGCCCGGCACTAGCCATAGGGTATTTGAATGACCCACGCAGGACCGCGGAGAGTTTCATTTTCAATCCGAAATGGGCGCAACTTGAGGCCCTGAGTTCAAATACAACTGAAAGAAGAAGATTCTATAAAACAGGGGATCTGGCGCGGTATTTCGCGGACGGGTCTCTGGAATGCATCGGGCGAGCGGATACTCAAGTAAAACTGGGTGGGCAACGTGTCGAGCTGACGGATATTGAGTATCACTTGCGAAAAAGCATCTCGACAACAGACTCAGTTGTGTTCTTGCCAAAACGTGGGCCTCTATCAGGACGTCTAATAGCTTTGATCAACACTGGCTCTAATGACACAACACTCAGCAATGGTCATGGGCCTATTTTGCGTGCGTGTGACGTTGACTTCATCACCAAAGCCAAGTCACAGCTCCTGCAGGCAGTAGCTGCTTATATGGTGCCATCAGTATGGCTCCAAGCCTCTTCAATGCCCTTCACTGCTACTGGAAAGCTGGATCGCGGCATGCTTTTGGGGAGATTAGAGGCAATTTCACCAAAAGATTTGAACGACCTTCTCATTCTTGAAGCCGATTCGGGCAATGAATCCACGAATGAAGCGGAAGCGTTATTGCGAGAGGTCTGCAGCGATGTTTTGAACATACCTCTGAGCAACGTGAACCTGGACCGATCTTTCTTTGCCTTGGGAGGTGACTCGATCACTGCGATGCAAGTTGTTTCTGCGATGAGAGGTGTCAACAAAACGCTGAAGGTTAGAAGCCTTCTTTCATCTTCATCATTACGAGAAACGGCTTCCAGTATCGGCGAACTGCATACACATCAGCCTGTTCCTGTAGTCCGGGTAGGCGACCGGTATGCTGTCTCACCCATACAGCAATTCTTTTTCAGCATTGCCCAGTCACCTAGCACACGGAATCACTTCCATCAAAGTATCTTTTTGAGGCTGGAAGCATGGAGAGATGCAAGCATTGTCGACAGGGCGATTGCGAGCTTGATTGAGAGGCATCCCATGTTAAGATCTCGGTTTGAGCAATCATCATCAGAACATGAATGGACACAGTATGTCACGAATGATATTAAGGAATCATACAAATTTGATTATCACTCAAGCGCCACCTCCGAAATTCAAAAGTCGCTCATGTCCAAGTCTCGGTTATCCCTATCAGCCACTCACGGCCCGCTTGTCCGCGTCAACATGTTTGAGAACGACGGGACCCAGTACTTGTTCCTCGTCGTTCATCACCTGGTTGTGGATCTTGTATCTTGGAGAATCATCATAGAAGAGCTTGAATCAGCTCTGACACAGCCGAAGCCAATTTTCAATGACTCATATCCGTTTCTTGCCTGGGTAAACCGACAAAGGGAATTTGCGAGTACCTTAGCACCAGATCATGTGCTTCCACAACATGTTCCCGCTTCAGACTTTGGATTCTGGGGCATTGAAAAGACAGATAATGTGTATGAGGACGTTCGAGAGAAGCGTTTCTCTATCAATTCACAGTCCACCAATGATGTATTGGTCAACTGTCACCATGCTCTTCAGACCGAACCAATCGACATTTTAATTTCTGCTTTACTTCTATCGTTTAGAAAAGCGTTCCCTGACAAGAAACCGCCAGCAGTTTTCACAGAGGCACATGGAAGAGAAACCTGGGATGATCAAATCGATCTATCCCGAACGATCGGCTGGTTTACCACGATATACCCCATTTACGCAAGTGAGCAAAAAAGCATTGTAGACTTGGTAATGAGAGTTAAAGACTCCAGGAAACGAAGTCCCAATAATGGTTTCAATTATTTCAGCGCCTCTTTCCTTACACCTGAGGGCCGTCAGGCCTTCAAAGATCATCTTCCAGCCGAGATTCTTTTCAACTACGAGGGTCGGTATCAGCTGCTAGAGAAAGAAGGTGCACTGCTACGCCAAGAGTCATGGACTGCTGGAGAGGCATTGGAAGACAATAGCCCGGCACTTCAACGACTCTCACTCTTCGAGATTGCTGCAAGCGTGCTCGATGACCGCTTACATTTTACCTTTGCCTGGAATTCTAGGGCAAGACATCAGAATAAGATCGAATCCTGGTTAAAGAGCTTGCCGAGTGCTATCGAGGAAATCACAGCGACACTTCATGCATCGAACCGTCAGCTCACGTTGAGTGATATTGGCCAGTTCAACCTTGATTATTCCGGTCTTGATGACCTAGCAAAGACGATAAGAGAAATTCCTGGAGTTAAAACTTTAGAAGACGTAGAGGACGTGTATCCATGTTCGCCGATGCAGGAGTCTTTGGCTCTCAGTCAATCTAGAGTTGATGGCGTATATGAGGTGGACATTCTGTGGGAGGTCACTACAGCCAGTGGCGCGATGACGGACCCAAGTCGTCTCAGAGACGCATGGGATACTATTGTCGCTCGGCATGCTGCACTCAGGACAGTCTTGATCGAGACCCCGGCGACAGTGGGGATGCTTGACCAGGTTGTTCTGAGGAAACATCACCCTCACTGCAAACAGCTGCAGGCCGAAAATGCCGATGGTGCTTTGAAGCTTTTGGCCAGTTATCCAGCCAAAAAGGGGGGGCTTGATAGTAATGAACCACCACACCGGCTGCTCATTTGCTCTACCCAAGACGGACGGACATTCGTGAGATTTGAAGTCAACCACATTGTCTTCGACGGAATGTCTCTTATCCCCCTCTTACGAGATTTATCCCTTGCTTATGAAGGAAAGCTGTCCAGAAAATGGGGGTCGCCTTATGGAAACTTTATCCGCTATATCCGAGATGAAAAACGACGGGATGAGAGTATTTCCTACTGGAAAAAATACCTTGAAGGCGCAGAAGCTTGCATCTTTCCTCCACTTCTCGATATGACCAACGGGGAAAGTGAGCAAAAGACAGCTTCAGTTCCACTTGGATTCAATCATGCAGAGCTTCATGCCAAGATTGCTGAGCTGGAAGTAACTCTTCCCGTTCTCATCCAACTGGTGTGGTCACTGGTTCTTCGTTTCTACACCAATAGTAGCCAAACAGTTACTGGCTACCTTGCCTCTGGCCGCGACGCGCCAGTTGCAGACATCGAAGGGGCAATCGGCCCCTTTATCTCCATGCTCCTTTGCTATGTAGACTTCACACAACCACAACGTCTTGTGGACTTGTTGAAAAAGATACAAGAAGATTCAATTAACAGTACAGCGCACCAGGCAAGCTCTCTGGCGGAAATACAGAACGCCATCGGCATCACTGGCGGTCCTTTGTTCAATGCGGGTATCTCTTTCATGCCGCTCTTAGACAGGCGAGCTCAGAAAGGGTCAAGTCTAGTGTTCGAGGAGAAATTTCTGAAGGATCCGACCGAAGTAATTTCTCTCCCAAATGATGGCATACGAATTGAAGCTAACAAGCACACAGTTTGAACTTGCTCTAATTGTTGAGACTGGGGAAGATACAACGCATATCTCGATTCATTATCGGACGTCCCTCGTCAGCGAGGGCCACGCTGCCAACATCGCTGCGACTGTCAATCATGTTCTCACCGAGATACTGCGAGATCCTTACCGAACCCCGGATGACATTCCGGCACTCAGCTCCCATGATCTGAAGCAGCTGTGGAACTGGAACGAAAACTGCATCGCACCAGTTGATGAATGCGTCCACCATTTCGTGGAGAGAACAATGCATGCTCATCCTAACAAGGAAGCTATCTTCAGCTGGGACGGTTCATTATCCTATCAAGAACTTGATGATCTTTCTCGGAACTTGGCTCATCATCTTAAAGGCCTTGGTATTGGGCCTGAGAAGATAGTTCCTCTTTGTTTTGAGAAGTCAAAATGGGCTGTCGTCTCCATGCTTGCAGTTTTACGAGCAGGCGGTTGTTTTGTAATGCTGGACCCGACTCACCCGGATAGTCGTGTTCTTTCAATCGCCGAAGAAGTCGAGGCGGAGGTTCTCATTTGCTCGCCATTCACTCGCCCCAAGTTCGAGGCTATCAAAGACAGGGCTCTCGTAGTAGAGTCGAACTTTGCGTACACCTTGCCGTCGAGTGACCCAAGACAATCGGTATGCCCAGAGGTAACGCCAGACAATGCCATGTATGTTGTTTTCACCTCGGGAACAACAGGCGCGCCGAAGGGTTCCATCACATCTCACAGGGCCTATTGTACCGGCTTCCGAGAGCATGCATGGGCAATCGAGGTTGGGCCCGAGTCGAGAACTCTACAGTTCTCAGCTTACAGCTTTGATGCAAGCGTCGGTGACATCCTCACTACCTTACTCGTAGGAGGATGTATCTGCATACCTTCTGAGGAGGATAGGAGCATGGAGATTGCCAATTTCATTGCCAAGAGCCGAGCAACATGGGCAGGCTGGACTCCCTCATTTGCCTCACTCGTCGACCCTGAATCCGTTCCTACTCTAACTGTTCTTTTGATGGCCGGAGAACCACTTCCTGCATCGCAAGTCGACGCTTGGGTCGACAGGTTGAAACTCCTCAACATCTACGGACCCAGCGAGTGCAGTGTAGCCTGTGTTGTCAACAAGGATGTTACGAGAGAAACTAACGCCTCGAATATTGGTCGCGGATATCGATGTGTCACCTGGGTTGTCGACGAGAACGATACAGAACGCTTGCGCCCAATTGGATCTGCTGGCGAGCTGCTTATCGAAGGCCCGATCCTAGCTCGAGGCTATCTCAAGAGACCAGAAAAGACTGCAGAAGTATTCATCGAGGCTCCATCATGGCTCAAGAACGGCCCTCATCCCCGCACTGGTCGCTTGTACAAAACAGGAGACCTTGTGAGATACAATTCTGACGGAACCATCAATTTCATTGGCCGAAAGGACACCCAGTTGAAGATCAACGGACAGAGAGTAGAAATTGGTGAGATTGAACACTCTCTTCGCAGCAGTATACCGCCAACAGCAGGCCCTATTGTTGTCGATTTGCTCAAAAGGTCCGGAGCTGGCGAACACGATCTTTTAGCCGCTTTCATCCATGTCGGCGCAGAAGATAATTCCCCTGAAGATCCAGACGACATAATCGCCACTGAGCCACAGTCTTTAGAAAGATTCCGGGATCTTGTTAAACAGATTTACGAGACGGCGTCTTCCCTCCCTCGGTACATGAGTCCTCACGTATTTATCCCCCTCAAACTACTCCCAATTACAACAGCGGGTAAACTTGATAGACGTGCTCTCCAACGAGTGACAAGTCGATTGACACGAGATGAGCTTGTGTCTTTCACATCTGAGGCGAAGGAAACCGGAAGAACACCTGAAGAACGCCAGCTTTCAGAAATGTGGAAGAAAGTCCTTCATGTCAGTTCCGTTGGAATTTACGACAACTTTTTCCGCCTCGGAGGCGATTCAATGGCAGCCATGGCGCTCCGATCGGAAGCTCGACGCGTGGGGCTTGGAGTCTCTGTGTCTGACATTTTTTCGAATCCTGTCCTCGCTGACATGGCGAAGATCATGAGCACGGTCGCAACCAGTGACATCACGGAAGTTGTCCTACCTTTTTCTTTGCTGAACGAGTATGAATCACCCACCGACTTGATTGCCGATATTGCTCATGAATGTGCCGTCCCGACAGAAGCAATCGAGGATGTGCTCCCCTGCGTCCCTATGCAAGAAGCCCTTATGGCGCTCTCGTCTCGCCAGTTTTCTGCGCAGACATACGTGCTACATGCTCCATACAAGCTTCCTGCAGATATTGACGAAGCCCGCTTTCGTGAAGCTTGGGAAAAAACATCGCATACCCACGCAGTACTCCGCAGTCGTGTGGTTCTTAGACCCCAGGGAGCGCTTCTGGTCATCATGAGAGATGACATTCATGTTGATACATATGAAGGATCTTTAGAAGAGTACCTCGCCAAGCAAAAACAAGAACTATTTGGATACGGCACACCTTTGCTTCGGTTAGGGCTCGTCAAGGAGGGAGATGATAAATATTTCGTCTTCAATGCTCACCATGCCATTTATGATGGATGGTCAACCAAACTGATCTGGGATACTGTGCTTCAGTATTACCGAGGCGAAGAGGTTGTCTCCGCGCCCCAGTTTCAAGCCCTAGTTCAAAAGCTCAGAGCGTCCCCACGCAAACCATCAGAAGACTACTGGAAACAAGGCCTGATTGATAGGCAAGGCGTATCATTCCCATCAGTTCCCGCGTCTCACAAGCCTGTTGCTCGCTCTGGAACAGCGTTTAAATTTCCGCTACATAGCGCTTCGATCTCTAACCGGAGTGTCACGGCAGCAACTCTGATCAACGCTGCCTGGGCAATTGTCAACGCTCAATACTCTTCAGACTCGACAGCTACATATGGATGCACTTTATCCGGCCGAGACTTCCCTCTTTCTGGCATTGAACAGCTTGTTGGTCCTACAATTGTTACTGTCCCTAGACAATTCGCGGTTGACCAAGACCAACCTCTGGTCGATTTCCTCAGTCATGTGCAAAAGGTTTCTATTGAGAGCATTCCCCATCAGTACCTTGGGCTGTCGGAGATCAAAGCTGTCAGCTCTGCAGCTCAAGAGGCTTATGACTTTACGTCTCTCATGGTAGTTCATCCGGATGCAGCCCTTCGGCTGCCCTTCGAAGACATCAACATCAAGCCGGTACCTCTTGATACAGCAGAGTACCATACTTATCCTCTGGCAGTTGAGTTTCTCCCTGTCGGCGAAGAACTCACAGTTGACGTCAGATTCGACCCAGACTGCATAGATTTGGAGATGGTAAATATTGTTATGCGCCACTTCAATCATGTTCTCCAGGGTATCTGTAATGCCACTGCCACAGCTGCAGTTGCTAGCGTTATGGCTGTTGCGCCAAATGATTTAAGTCTCATGTCGAACTGGAACAGCAGTGTCAAACCTGTTGAAGCTTGTGTCCATCACCTCATCGATCAAATGGTCCAAAAACAACCGGATCGTCCGGCGGTCGTCTCACACGATGCTTCGCTTTCCTATGCTGAGCTAGACCTCTGGGCAAATCAGTTAGCTGGTGACATTATTGGCACTAAATTGGTCAAGCCAGGCGACTTTGTTGGGCTATGCCTGGACAAGTCCGCCCGGGCGGTCCCTGCAATGATCGCTGTTTTGAAAGCTGGCGGTGCCTTTTTACCTCTCAACCCGGATCATCCACCAGCACGTCTACAAGCACTCCTGGAAGAAGCAAATGCCAAACTTGTGCTTGCCTCACCCAGTAGGGCTGCTTCTCTGACAGACAGCATACCGTGCAAAATACTGTCGGTGGAAGATTTTGATCCTTCTCAAGCTGCTGAAGCCCCCAAAGCGATTGAAGTCTCTCCTGAGCATGCGGCCTATCTGCTATTTACCTCTGGTAGCACAGGCAAACCGAAGGGAGTCGTTATTGAGCATCGAGCGTGGGCCTCCGCAATAAATGCTCAATCCACTTACTTTGGATTTGGACCTGAGATACGAATGCTGCAGTTCAGCAGCTACACGTTCGATGCTATGATCTTCGAGATTTTCATCACTCTCACCTCGGGTGGCTGCGTTTGTGCGCCTTCGGAGTCTGAAAAGATGAATGATCTCAGCGGATACATCACAAGGCAGGAAGTCAATACTCTCATCTCAACACCCTCCGTCACCAGACTCATTGTCCCGGCTAGGGTGCCTACTCTCAAACTCGTCATGGTTGGTGGCGAGCCCCTAGCACCTTCAGATATTGAAGCATGGCTAAGTCAGCCTGGTGTTTCGTTTGCCAACGTTTATGGGCCAACAGAGGCGTGCGTGATGGCTACAGGTCGAAAGGTTGTCGCATCAGACAGCAGTTCCAACATCGGTGTCCCCATTGGAACAGCGGCATGGGTAGTTAGCCCTCTTACACGAACCTTGGCACCTATCGGAGCTGTCGGAGAACTGTGTATCGAAGGGCCAACACTAGCCAGAGGCTACCTGGGCGATACAGAAAAAACCAATGCATCCTTCGAAAAGAATCCTTCGTATCTCCCCACGGGCTCAAATCGGCGGGTTTACCACACCGGCGATCTGGTACGGTACAACGCTGACGGTACCCTGACTTTTGTGGGAAGGCGAGATGGCCAAGTTAAACTCAGAGGCCAGCGTATCGAAGTTGGTGAGATTGAAGAAAACATTAGAAAATTCATGTCAGCGAACACGTCTTTCAAACACGTTGGTGTGGAGTTGTCCGATTCTACAGATGCTCGCAATCAACCATATCTCGCAGCTCTCTTGGTTATGGACATCAAGTACGACACTAAGGTTTCCGACATCGGTTGTGCTTCAATGATGGATCCCAAGAACTCGACTATGCTGGAAACAGCCGTAAACCTTCAACAGCAGCTTCGTAACGTCCTACCAGAGTACATGGTTCCCTCTGCATATGTTGCTGTTGAGCGGCTTCCCACAACCGCATCTAGCAAACGAGACCGCGTCTTCGTTAAGGCATGTCTTTGGGCTTTGTCTGCCGATGGAAGTTTGTTTCCCGTAACTGGAAACAAAGACAAGCAAGCCGAACTCTTCGGAAACGAGAAGCTCCTACAAGAATGGTGGTCAAAGATTCTGAACATTGAGTCCGAAACTATCAGTGCTGGGGATCATTTCTTTGCTCTAGGTGGTAACTCAATCACGGCCATCCGACTTGCTGGTCTAGCTCGGTCATCTAAGTATCAGTTGATGTTTGAAGACATCTTCTCATTCCCTGTTCTTTCCCAAATGGCCACTCGCATTACCGTCGGCAGTGAAAGGGAAAGGCCGCTGGCTAAAGCTTTTGAGTTAATGTCATCAGAGCAAATTGACTCGATAACACGGGATGTGCTCCCACTCTACAACATCAGCAAAGACGATGTAGAAGACATGTACCCATGCACCCCTCTCCAAGAAGGGCTTATGGCAGTAACAGCGCGAAATCTTGGCGCGTACATTTCGGCAGATACCATTGACATATCGGAGGCAGAATTGCCACGGCTCCAGCAAGCATGGAACCTTGCATTCCAGAAATTCGAGCTGCTCCGAACCAGAATTGTGCTGAGCCACGAATATGGGTCATTGCAAGTTGTTGTCCGGCAGCAGCCTGTCTGGCATGAAGCCACAGACGTCGAGAGTTTTGTCCACTCCGTTCAAAAGTTGCACGGATATGGAAAGCCTATGGTTCACCTTGCAGTTGTTCCGACTTCCAAACCTGGGACAGTTAGAGTTGTGTTCAGCTCACACCATTCAGTGTACGATGGCTGGTCTCTGGGTTTGGTTCGCCAATTTCTTGAGATGCAGATGGTGGGAGCCCTTGACGAGCCGGAAGAACTTCAGACAGTTCCCTTCAGAATGTTCATTCACCACCTCATGGACCTACATCTCGAAGAAGCGGAAACATACTGGAAAAATAAAATGGCAGGACTCGATGCGTCGCCGTTTCCTCGAGGGCCACATGACTCCAAGCACCAGCCGCTGGCAACTGACTTCCTAGAACAAACTATTCCTCTCCCTAAGATCCAAAATCACGAGTCTTTTGCAACGATAGCCACCATCGTGCGAGCCGCGTGGTCTTTGACAGTTTCTCATTATACCGCGAATCCCGACACTGTCTTTGGAGCGATCGTGACAGGAAGAGAAACCACGGATGTCGCGGATATTGAGAAGATCGCCGGACCTACCATTGCGACGGTGCCAACACGTATCAAGATCGACTACAATTCAAACGTTTCCGACTTCCTGGCAGTTGTGCAACGGGACGCCGTTACCGAGTCGCGTTTCTGTCAGCTTGGTCTTCAAGGCATCGCACGAATTGGTCAAGAATGCCACAAAAGCTGCGAATTCGGCAGTATTCTCGTTGTTCAGCCTCCAGTCAGCAGCGGTACCGGGAAGGTACCTCAGCTGAGACAAGGACCCGTAGCATCGCCAAACTTCTTCCCCCAAGCAATGGTTCTTGATTGTCAGACGTCAGAGAACAATGCAGATGTGGCGGTGACACTAAGCTACGATCCAAAAATCGTTGAGAGTTCCCATGCCGCCTTTGTTCTCTCTACCTTTTCAACGTTACTGCGTAACTTAATCGCCGCTTCGCCGAGCAGCTTGTTACGTGACGTAGACGCACTCTCGAAGGAACATGCATCAGAGGTCAACACAATGACGCGCAAGAAAGAACCAAACGTTATTGATGTTTGCACTCATCACCTTGTTCAGCAACAGGTTTTAGCTCATCCTGCAAACACCGCTATCGATTCTTGGGATGGCACTATGAGCTATTCTGAACTTGACATTACCTCCTCTCTGCTAGCACAAGATCTTCAAAAGTTCGGTATTGGGCCTGAACAGGCAGTACCATTCATGTTCGAAAACTCCAAATGGGCTATTGTCTCGATGCTTGCAGTTTGGAAGGCAGGCGGATACTTCGTGCCCTTGGACCCCAAGACCCCGAACCAGAGACTGCAACACCTCATCCAGGCAAGTGACGCAACGATGATTTTGACGTCAACTCAATACAGCGACAGATGCGCGGAACTTCACTGTAAGCCAATCGTGGTTAGTGAAGACACCCTCCCGGTGCACTCTAACACTATTCCGCCGAAACCTGAATCCGTAGCCAATCCTTCTAACTCGGCATACGTTCTGTTCACCTCGGGTACAACGGGCATTCCAAAAGGCGTCGTGATCGAGCACAAAGCGCTATCATCGTCAATTACCGCGCTAGGCAAATACATGGGCATGAAAAGGGAATCAAGAGTGCTACGTTTCTGCGCCTTCACCTTCGACGCCATGCTTCTGGATACCTTTGGCACCCTCATTAACGGCGGTTGCGTTTGTGTTCCCTCTGAACACCAAAAGATGAACGACTTGGCGGGCTTCATACGAGACTACCAGGTTAACACAACCTGGTTCACTACATCTCTATCCAGAATAATCGACCCCGATTCCGTTCCAACTCTGACAACGGTTGCAATGGGCGGCGAGGCAGTATTGCAGAGTGACGTTGACCGTTGGGCTTCAAAGGTTAGACTAGTTTCAGGCTATGGGCCTACGGAGACTTGCATCATCACCCTCATGGGAGAGTTGACCCCAGCGACACCCCCCAACACCATCGGATGGCCGGTAGTCAGCCGATCTTGGGTTGTCAACCCCCTCAAGACATCGGAACTAGCGCCCATTGGTGGTGTCGGAGAACTTTACGTCGAAGGCTCCAGTGTGGCACGAGGATATCTCAAGAACGACGAAGCTACTAAACTGGCCTTCGTTAAACCTCCAAACTGGCTTGTCGGGGCAACGCCAAATACACGAGTTTACCGAACGGGTGATTTTGTGTATTACAATCCTGACGGAACCTTGAGCTTTTTCGCCCGTAAAGATTCCCAAGTCAAGATTCGTGGTCAAAGAGTTGAACTGTCCGAAATCGAAGAAGCAATTCGCAAGCAGATTCCAAACTGGCTGACCGTCGCTGTAGATGTGTTTAGGCCGGGAGAGCAAGGTCAGCAGATACTCGCTGCCATCTTCGGGACTGGGGAGAGCTTTGAGCAGCCAGCGAGTAACAAGCATCCCAGTGCAAAACTCGTCGAATTCATGAGAAACCTCTCAAAAGACCTCAAGCACCATTTGGCAGAAACCCTCCCTGGCCACATGATCCCCGACGCCTATCTTCCACTGCAACGATTGCCCGTTCAAACTTCTGGCAAACTTGACCGTCGGGTTTTGCAAGTCATGGTAAATTCAATGACCTTCAAATCAATAGCTGCATTCGCCAGTCCCGACGAGGGTCAAGAAAAGCCAAATACCCCAAGCGAAATTGTGTTGGCCAACTTATGGTCCACCGCACTGAAGTTGTCGAACGGAACTTCAATAACTACATCTGACAACTTCTTCAGCCTCGGTGGAGATTCAATTATGGCGATGAAGCTTGTCGCACTCCTAAGGGCAGAAGGTTACTCTCTCGCTGTAGCCCAAATCTTTTCCAACCCGACATTGTCTGGAATGGCCTCTAAAATGCAGCCAACAACCTCTGATGGCCACAAGCCACGCCCTACGCATTTAAGCCTACCTGTTTCAGTTGTGGATGATGTCTTGAGATCCAAGGTCGCCACTAGCCACAACTTTAAACTTTCTCGGGTCGAAGATGTTTACCCCTGCACATACATGCAAAAATCATTCATGGAGGATTCTATTCAGGTTCCAGGGGCGCAAGTGGTGCAGTTCATATTCGCCCTTGACTCTGGTGTCGATTTGTCGCGACTACACACTGCTGTCGACCGCTGCGTTCGTGACTTTCCCATCCTCCGAACGCGACTCGTGCGAAAGTCAGGCCAACTTTACCAGGTCGTCCTCTCTGACAAGATTGTTTGGAAAGAAGTTACTGCGGATAGTCTCAGCAAAGTCCTTGCAGAGGACAAGCTCATTCCTACCGGTCTAGGTGATGCTCTTACGAGAATTTCGATCGTGCACGAAACTGGGAAGCCGGGTGCCCACCTAATATGGACCCTCCATCACTCTCTCTACGATGCGTGGTCTCTGAGGTTACTACTGGACGCCGTTGATATGGCTTACAAGAACCAAACCTCCGGGAAGCCGCCACAGATGCCGTTCAAAAGTCTGGTGGAATATGTTGGAAGTAGAGACAGGGCCAAGGACCGTTCGTTCTGGGCATCATACCTGGCTGGGGCCGGAACCTCCCCATTGTTCGGCTACATATTCCTTCGCAATCCTGTCAAGGACATGCGTGCAGACTATCAGCTGCCGCTGCCACGAAAAGTTCATGGAACAACACTGACAGCCACAATTGCAGCTGCATGGGTTCAAGTGATTGGCGATCTCACAAAATCTCAAGACGTCACGATTGGCTATCTCGTTACTGGCAGAGCTGCCTCTCTGCCAGGCATTCAAGATTGTGTAGGACCAGCTATTTCCAAGGTGCCTTTGCGAGTTCGGCTGGGGAGCGGAGACAACACGGCCATCGTCTCAGAGAAAGTCCAAGCCGAGCTCAGCCGTCTCATGCCCTACGAACTCTCTGGGTTGGAAGTGGTCAAGGCTTCTAGCCAGGACGCAACTGATGCTTGCCGGTTTCCGCTTGACCTGACAGTCCATCCAACGGGTACCCTAGCCTTTGCAGGCGAGGGTATTGGCATGCGATTCGTGGGAGGTGAGGTTGCAGCGGCTCCCCCAGGCGGTTTTGCTGTTGAGTGCGCTATTAAGGAAGACGGGATGGAGGTTGCTGTTTTCTGGGATAAGAGAGCTGGCAGGAAAGAGCACATTGATGAGCTTTTGAAGAGCTTTGAAGGAATTCTTGTGAAGCCACAGCTGAAGAATTAACTATAAGACTCTCAAGACTGATATCATGACTTAAAAGGGTTCGTCATTCAGGTCACTTAAGGGATGCTCTTAATACCTCTACTTACCTATATGTCTACGTAGTTTATCGAGGGGATCCTGAACTAAATTTCATTCGGCTTTAACTTGAATTATGTAGCCACTGTCAACCTGTTTGATATGACTCAATCTTGTCTCTCTAACACGATTATATGGCCACTAAAAATCAACAGTCGTACCAAAAGCCTCTTGTTTAATTATTTGTATATAAATCAGCTAATGCGTTAAAGAATTAAATTTGAAATTCGCTAACACCAATACTCGGGCGCTCGTGCTGCCACCTACTAAAAGGACGGCTACATATGCATATCCGAATTGGTTCTCAGTCTTGCCCTGTAGCTAGAAATGGTGAGAAAACGGTTATCCCATCGAGTGCTGACTGGTAACAGACAAACCTACACCATCCTGAAGCACGTATTTCTCCAAATTTTGTCTTGGTAATTGGTTACATCACAGGGATACATGTACGGGTGTAGGAAGAAGTTGGATCTCTTCACAGGTGTGGTGAATGCTATTCTTCTGGGACGGACTTGAGACAGCGGTATGGGCAGGTTGAAGTGACGTATTCCTTCCTGCTGTCCACCGCGTGGGTCGTTGAGGTCGCCTACCCCCTTGGGATTGCGCGCCATTGTCAAACGCCACGGACTGGCAATAGCAATACGCGCCATTGGAGAAGTAGCCACACTTCTACTGACACCTATGTTCGATTCCACTTTTGGCTAGCTGCCTGAACCTCAAGTGTACACATATGCATGGTGCTTGGCGTGCGGGTATCTGATTTGCTAGAGCCCCCGCAGCTTGCTATTTTCCCTGAACCCCGCCACGGGTGAGGCAGAATCAAACAGCACTACTGCTTAATGGTTGTGCATGTAACAGGTAGCAACTGAAGCAAAAGAGGATTTCGCCCAATGTGCAAGTACTTGAAGCAGCCACAAAACAACTCTTTTGCGGCTATCGGTGCCCAAATTGGCCCGGAAGTTGTTAAAAAGCTGGCTGACCTAATCCACCGGGGACCTTGACTAGGTAAGTAGTGGTTCTCAGATATATCATCCAAGCAATTCCCACGAAATCCAATATTTATCAACAGCTCATTTGCGTCTTCGTTACTTACATCCTTCTGTCTTGCTCCTTGCCTTTCTGCGTAGACATGTCGCTATCTACGGAAGTTATCGTGGCTATTCTCATTGGCGTTCCAAGCCTTGTCGTGGCTGTTTTTTCATTTATACTCGCATTTATGGCGATGCGAAGCCGGGGCCCGGCCAACGCAGACGACGTTGAACGGCAGGGAGATGTATACCCTCACTCTCTCACTCACGCACACGCATATACCGATGCAGACTGTCAGCATCGCCAATCTCGAACTTATTATATGCGGTTGTCAACCTAAAGAGTTTATGCTGGTAGAGACTCCTTAGACTCTCCGAGGCAATTGCATCACAGCCGTTTGCCTACGCCGGACCGTCGGTGTCCACTACGCTAGCGGCCGGCCCCACCACGACAGAGACACATGGGGAACCCTAACATCTAATTCAGCGTGTCAGCTAGTGTGCAGGGACGCCTTGCCTGGGTCATCAGTGTACTCTTGTACACCGTCAAGTCTTGCTTGAACATTGCACCTCCATCAATCATTTCACCTCAGGTCAGCACCTTCGTTACTGGATGCAAAAATCAATACAACCGTAAATAGCCAAAGCTACGCATTCAGACCCATGCGTTCTTGCCCCGTTCACCTCCTTCCTAGCCGCCGCTGAGTTACTTACTTGAGTCGCTTCCTCACCCCTCACCAACACCGGGCTTCTTGCGGAGAATAGTGTCGCATTCTCCATCCCCGTCTTAAGCCTCCCGCAAATCTCGGGACGTCCCGTCCAATCCGACCCAGGCCCCTAGCGCACAGACATTGCCGACGCCAACAGCTACCACCGATATTATCCCTAATCATCCTGGGCCAAACACATTTTGCATGATCTCATGAGCGGCGGTATGAGATGGGGGGTTTGGGACATGAGTAGATTGGTTGAGGAAGCAGCTGCGAGCGTCTCTATTTTTTTTCTTTTTTCTTTTTAAAACTGAATAGAGTGTGGTGTTACCTAGTATATCCCCCACCGGTTTGTAGTGTATGTACCTCAAAAATTAGTAAGGGCTTACCTATTTCGGCTTGGATCTTGGTCTTAGTATATTGTCGAGTCCACTGTCTATAGCAACCTCGACGCATGCCTATGATTAGTGATCATTCGGGCTATGAAACCAAGAATATCGCCCTCGTTTGTATCTTTTCCGTACTCTCGAGCCAAGCTACAACAACGGCCGTGAGTGCTCTCAGATCGTTGAAATCTGTAATCATTTTTCTTCGACATTTCCGGCCGCCTTTTCATTCTTGTAATCACTGACGAACTGTATTCGGTCATTGAAACTATCTAGTTACGGTGTAAATCATTTTGAGGAGTTGTGCGGCTTCAGACCTCTCGATTAGCAAAGAACTTACAGCATCTGTTCTGCCTCTTACGAATGTGACAATAGTGTCAATGCTCACCGATTACACCGAAGAATGTGTTTACATAATCCCTCTGAAATGCACAATGCCAACAGCCTAGGTTAGTACATGCATTTCTACGCATTCCAAGTCTTTTCAACATCAAGCCACTGTTTAATATACCAAACCGTCTGATTGAAGAGTGCATAATCCGTCACGCAGTCAAATTGATCTGTTCCGAAGTATCCAAATTAAAGGAAATACAATACAAAAGACTGAGAGCTGAGTAAGAGGGTAAAATGAAGAAGGAGAAAAAGGCGACTGGTGGAAGATGCGGTGAGCGAGGGTGCATAGACGTGGGCTAAGAGCCGAGCTATCCGGCCTCGCTGTCCCAGGCGTAGCCTTGAGTATCCTAGTGACAAAAACCAACACATGGACTTTAAGTCGCCGGGTACCTGTTGGCTAGGTCGTGGAGAAAGCAAAGAAAGCTGGGCAAGATATAAGCAAAACCGGTATACGCCAAGCTTTGCAGTAAGTGAGTGGGTAAATGAATGGAGTGCCGCGCAGTACACTATGACACTAACCCTGGCACCAGGCTTGGTAACAATAAGAACGGCATAGCGACAACCCCGTCATCCTGTCATAGAGATCTCGGGTCTATGGGGCTGGGATGACACGTGCACTTCTCGGTATATACGATCACTTTTTCTAAACTGCATCTTCCAAATTTATCCGAAATTTGATCTGGGAAGCAAAATGATTTAGGTTGCGGTCGGCTCAAGTAAAATACGGACCACGGTTCGAAGGATACAAAGCGGGGGCTAATCTTTATGTAGGTTAGTTATGAAAATAGCTGAAGTGCACATGTGCACCACCAGCGCTCTAGATCTAGAGTCCAGTGGCGTATGATGGAACAGAATTATTCTCTATTTGTTTACGAAAAAAAACTGTTAGCTGTTGGCTAATATTATGGGAAATTATTGTAAACCTTTGAAGCATGCTTCAGCAAGTTGAATATCTACGCTAAAACACACCCATTAGCATCAGGACGCAATCTGCCAGATAGGGTAGAATCACGTCGTCAATACCAAAATGTCGAGATCGTTTGCTGAACGCAGCCTGCAGGTGACTAGTTGCTACAGGCTACACAGGCCATAGGTCTCATCAGTAACCGAGGAAGAATATTTAGGATTAGGATGAGTTCGCACGATTTCAAATTACACCAAGGCTCTGGAATCCCTCCTTCTATCCATCGCAGGTGTGGCGCAGCCCCAGCGTGGATTTCGTCATTACCGGGCGCCAGTCCAGTTTGTAAGCAAGTGTGCTGTATCAGCGCTCATGTTCGCGCCTTACAAGGTGATTTATCACAGCCTACTACCACATACGTGAGCGAGGAAGAGGATGCGATAGAGCCTCGCAGCTCTAAATTCATTGAGTTATATCAAAAGGCGTGGTGCGGAGTGTGTTGGTGTTACTTCCATCCCTGGCTCAACTTCTCGCAAGATGTACTGTCGCTCTTCTCAACATCGAATATGAGCTACCTCTCAATATGGAGACTGAGCTGGAGACAACTACGTGAAGCTTCTTTGATGAGCTTTAAAGTGGTTATTCTCTAGGACCGGTGGGGAATCAGGGCCTAGCGTGCTACGATGCAATAGCTATGGTCAATCGCATCGCGGTAACAACAAATCAATGGTTTAATCATATTTCTGCGGAGGCGTCCCCTAGCATTGTCTAACATCGTGAACCTGGATGGGAAAAAAGGGCCGGCCTAGCTCGTATGCGTCGCCAGGTGAATGTATGAGTAAGAAAGAGAGGTACCATGAATTGGAAGTGCTAAAGTTGGAGCTTTGGGACATGTTGTCAAAGGCAATTGAGCGCAGCCTCAAACCTGGCGGCAGTGATCAATGGTACAAGCCAGTCCAACTGATAATAGCTACAGGGCCTGTGAGTAGGCTACCAACCCACCTGCGATCCCAGAGCTCTCCCAGAAGAGTGGGTCTGACGATTACTTCCATCGTGGCTGTGCTGTTGGTCTGTCGCTCGCCGCCAATGAATGATTGGATGTCACCTTCAAATAAGTTACTTGCAAGAAAGCCAAGAATCATACAGTTGTGTGAATTTAATGCTTGCTCTCAATACGGAAAGCAGACAAAGGATGTCACGTGGCTGTATAACATGCTGGAAACCGCAGATATACTATGCAGAAAAAGAGGTAACCCGACCAAAAGCGTAGAATGCCTCCCAATCAGCCCACGAGCGACCTGTGTTAAAATGGCACTATTCCCCATCAGGGATCGGCGCTTATACTTGGGCAGTAAGTAGCCCCTCCTTCTTCCCAATCTCACAGCTAGCGCTGCCACCTTCAAGAAGGTTTTGCTTTTCAAGTTACATTTATCGTTGGAACTCCCTGACCTACTTAAATTATGGCAGTCGGTCGCACCGGTCGGCTTCTGTTCACTTTGGTTGTGATTCTCAAGTCTACATCATTCAACTTCCCCACGACCATGCCAGCTTGTTTTTTTTTGCAGCATTTCTAGACCACAAACTTCAAGCTCTCAAGCAGTCAATAGTTCCAACTCAACATCATTCCTCTTTTTTAATCCTTTTCCTCCGCTCGGTCTCGTCATGTCACTCTCCACAGAAGTTACCGTAGCTATTATTCTGGGCATTCCAAGCTTGATCGTTGCCAGTTTGTCACTCCTGGTTGCATTCATAACAATGCGGCATGCTCGATGGAGTCTGGTTAGCGGGGGCAATGTCGAACTGCACGAATACCCTTTGCACTCTCATCCGCCTACCTACAGTGGATCCGACTATCAGCACCACCAACGTGGACTTTACCAGAACTTTGACCGTGTGGGCCTACGTTTATCGCCCGAGATATTTTATAACGATAGAGACTCTGTCGTTCGTCCGAGGCAATGGCTTCACGACCGTGTACCTGCGCCGTCCGAACTTCCACTGCGCTAAGGTCCATCCCCACCGCGGCAGAGACTCTTAGGGTGGGGGACTAAACCTGCCGGGGCCATCGCTGTTCATTTTGGCCGTCGGAAGGTCGAATACTGCAGTACAAGCTTTCGCCGCTCTACTTGCACCATCTGCGTGCCCGCCTCTCGCACTTCGGCTCCAGGTCGATGCCATCCCTTTTTCAGACGGTGTCCCGCAATATGGATGCTTATGCAGGAAAGCGTGCGATGCATTTACCTGCCTTATCAGCACCAAAATTAATCACGCTTTGCATCTTCATTTTTACGCCTCCTTGCCTCCTACTTCTCCTTCCTAGTTTTCCCCTCTCCCGCTACGCTGCCCCTCACTGTCCCGCTATCGAACAGTGCCTCGCTGGGACAAAGGCTGGCTTGACCGTCTTTGACGGCCGCCAAAGAAAAAAGTTTCCTCGCTCAGTCGTTCCTACGCCGCCTCAGACATGCTTTCTCTGCGCAAAGCTTTTTGACTACTCCCTATATGAAGAGCAATTTAAATAGCGCCCCTGCACATGTTATCGGGATTGTATATGCATCCCGCTTCATTGTCACCAAGATTTCCTGGGCTGGGCTTATCGACACGTGCCTAGGGCAGCTGGACACCGGCCGCTGGCCGATGAACGTGTCGCTAACCCCGCTTAGTTTCTAGTGGTCTTTCCTCACTTGTTTGGGAGAGGTCAATTAAAGCTTAAGCTAGCAGGCTGGTCGACCGTGGAAGCTTGCCAGACACGCTCATATAGGTACTCAAGCGCGGCGGTTGATTGGTGTTTTTTGCAATATGCAAATCGTCATTGTATCCTACTTTACTTTTTCTTTATTATACTCTATTACAAAAAGTGCTATTTTGCTCAAATTTTCATCTCGGAAGAGTGTCAAGCACTTCACCAACACTTTCATACTTAATGCTATCATTATATAAACATGATTCTTCGTTAAACATTTAGGCGAGATATAGTGGAATCACATCATTATTAACAACTGGAATCTGACCTCATTTACTGACAGCCCACATCGTTGTGTTAGGTAAGCAAGGTATTTTATTGGTTCTGTGTGGAAGCCGGTCAGATGGCGACCAATACCTTAGTGGTAGGATGGGGCAATCACCGTCTTGAAGAACTCTGACAATAGCTGATTCCGGGAATTATTCATCATGGGTCTGCTTCGTTCTCATTGGTCTCTTACTTTTTAAATGTACACTGAGAGATAATGTGCAAATGGATAAGAAAGCAGGGAATGCGAGAAAGATCTACAAAAACAAAAAACGATACTGGCCCCCGGCAGATACGTGTAGAATCAGGCTGGGAGTCTTCCGCTTGAAAATAAGGCAACCTCAACCCCCTGGCTAGCTCAGACCCCCCTGCTGTGCTGCATACCCATATTCTACGAATCGACTTTCGGGCCATGCCACTCTCTGGGTTTTTTCTAAAGCTAAGCCGTCGTCCACCCTTCAGCTCCCCACAAGAGTATATATCCTTAATGCTTCCCATGACAATGGACTGCTATAGCTTCATGCTCCTCGGTGGTCAACGCGTGCTTTAATCAACATCATCCTCTTTTCCCCCTATTCCAGGGTCTTATTATGCCACTTTCTACAGAGGTTATCGTAGCCATCGTATTCGGCGTTCTGACCCTGATTTTGGCCATTTTGTCCCTCTTTGTCGCATATAAAGCAATGCGACGTGCTCTTCGAAGCCCGGCTGACAGAGATGTTGAGCTGCAGGCAAATACGTACCCTTGCTCTCTACCACCCACAAATGTATACGGCGACGCAAGCTATCAGCACCATCAATCTCGAGTTGATCTCATGTATTTGTCATCCGAGAGACTTTACGCTGGTGGAGGCTCCTTCAACCACCCCGGGCAATTGCATCATGGTCGTGTACTTGCGCCGTTTGACATCGACCTTCGGCATCCACCACGGTAGTGCCCGGCTTCACCACGGCAAAGACCCATTAGGGGCCCCAGTCATCTAATTCAGCGCTTCAGCCACTGTGCCGGGACGCCTTAAACTCAAGTCCTGCTTCAAAGTTGCACCATTCGCAGCATCATCGATGTTTCACCTCTAGTGACCACATTCTGTATGAAATGCAAGAATCATGGCAGCCGTAAATTATGAAAGCTCCGCATTAGGATTTTTCGCGTCCTTGCCTCGTTCGCCTTCTTCCTGTCCGCCGCTGAGTTACTTACTCGAGTCTCTTCCCCACGGGTTTCCAGTGGAGAGAAACGTCGTCATTCGCCATCCCATAGTTGCCTCCCGCGAATCTCGGGACCTCCCGCCCAATCCGGCACAGGCCCCTAGCGCACAGACATTGCCGATGCTAACGGCAACACACCTTATGATTCCTAAATCATTCTGGGCCAGACGCAAATTTTGCTTGACCTCTACAACTGGAAGTGTGAGATATGGGGATTGGGGCTTGAGTTAATCAGTTGAGGACGCAGCCGTGAGCGCATTCCACAGTTTCCTTTATTTTATTATTCAATAGAGCGTGGCGTTTACCTGGTGTATCCCCCCATCGGGAGTGTCATTTTAGATATCTTAAAGATCAGCAAGGACTAATCTCAGCTCAGCTCTTAGTCTTGATGCATTGTCGAATCTTTTGTCTATAGCAAATCTCGAGCCATGCTTGTGATTGCTTTCTAACCCAAGCTCAACAGTTCGCCAGCCTCTATTATCAATTATCCGGGCTCTGCAACCAAGAAGTTGCCTTCCCTTGCATCTTTACCATAGCCCCAAGCCAAGCCACAAGAACGGCAACGTGCACTGTCAAATCTTTGTAACCTGCAATCATCGTGTATTTCGAGATCGCGCGCCGCCTTTTCGTTCTTGCAATTGCTGTTGAACTGAATTTGATCGATGAATCATCAAGCCACAGTGTTTATGCGGGCGTATATACAACCTCAGAGCTCTGGCTAGCATAAAACTCACAGTTAACGTTTTCGCCTTTCCAGCTTGTGGCGATAACGGCAATGCTCACCGAATACACCGAAACACAGTGTCTACGTAATCCATGTGAGTATGCACCACTAACATTTAAATATACGCTTTCCCTCGCACTTCCTCTCCTTTTCTTATCAAGCCGCTGTTTTACACAATTAACCGTTTAAGTTATATATACTGACTTTATCAAGGATCCAAAGATTCCTATTCCGAAGTAATAACAGAAAAGTCCAGAGAAGAAAGGAAGGGTTAAAAAAACAAGTTTGTATGGTAGGGGATGGATGCAAGGCGGGAGGTATGGCGACGGTGGTGATCGCCGATATGGGCAAGGGATGGTCGTGGACCGTTAACCGAGCTGTCCAGTCTCGTTGACCCAGGGCATAGCCTAGAACACCCCGATCACAAGTATCAACACAAGGCTTTCAGATAGGCGGACACTTCTTGGTTAGGGTTATGAGGAAAACAATGAAAGCTGGGGAAGATGCAAGTAAGATTGGTATACGCCAAGCTGCACAGTGAGCGAGTGAGCGAGCAAAGGGAGCGCCCCCCTATGGCGCCGGGCTAGAAATAATTCCTACCTTCGAAAATTGGTACTAGTGGTAAATGTTCTTTCGCTCCAAATCGTCTTGTCGGAGCGACGACAAAAAGGCAGGACAGGCGGCTGATACTTAGGTGGAGAAACGAGTTTGCAGATTCTTGCTATCTCGTTGACTGTAGCCTGTCAAAAGATACGTAGCGCCCAATGCTACGCCTTGTCCCAAAAGAGATGCATGAAGCTACGCCCTCCACGTTTATGGCCTCGAACTGCCTTCATGTAACTCAATAAGCTGCAGGTACTTCTTCGACAGCCAGAATATATAAACAATATAAGTACCAGTAATCTGTACCATTTATTTAGCTAGAAACGGCCCTGGTTAGCCTCTGACTGACAAGCCCCTCCACATGTGTGTAAGTAAGCGTCGCCCCCAATCATCAACAGTCATTAGTTGCCGCCTACGTGCGTAACGGACGATAATCCACGAGTTCAAGCAGCCAAGGGACCATTCCAATCTAAGATTTCCAAAGACAAAGGCCCTCAGAAAATGGTGCGGTGTGCGACAGTGGCATCTGGTGAAAGTAGCTACATACCGGAATTCCACCAACAGACACCTTAGGTGACTGTGAGATTGCACGTAGAGTCAACCGACGAGAGTATGGTGCAATTTAAAGCCATGGGTCCTGCCTTGACGGGGTTAGTCTAGTCTAGAAGCCTTGTGTCGTAGCTAGAATGACGTACGTGGGCACCCTTGGCATTTTGGTAGGCGGCGTTACCGACTGATACAAAACAATGAAAGGTTCTGTCGCACGGACAAGTGCGGGCGACGTACCCCCCTCTACGAATGCAACATCAAATAACCCAACTTCAGTCCGTCCTTAATTTCCATCCCATTGTCTGCTTGTCTCTGCTTGGGTTGAATCCTAGCTCGGGCTAGAGTGGGGCTACGAGCGTGTAAAGGTCGATGAAAGAGGCTGGCAACGAACAAGGAGCTCAGCGCTGGATAGGAGCCACTGAGGCTGTGCTATTTTCAGGATAATAGGCAGGATGGACAACGAAGAAAGGAGGTGATCAATTCTCAAGTAAACTCTCAGAAGTCTGGCTCGATCTCACCTGGGTTCTCAAATCTATATCATTCAAGGACATTCATACCAAATGCGAAGTTTATCGACAATACATCTGCATCACAAACTTCAAACCTTATTTACTGAACATCATTCTATTACATCCCCTTGCATCACCATGCGCTAGGGTCTGTCCCCGCACTGCGGCAGAGACCGTTGGGGGAACCTTACGCTTGTCTGGGTCACCGCTACACACTACGCCCTTCTTGCCGTTGGATAAGGTAGCTGTGGATCTGGTGTCGGCAAGCCTTTGTTCCTCCAACCTCACCTCCGGGCCGATACCAACTATTTTTTCAGATCATACACAGCAATAAGGACAAACATCGAAAAAGAAAAAGAAAAAAAATAGAACGCCTTGCATTTCATCTCACCAACATAGATCAAAGCCC